ATCCAAGTTTCAGAAATAGCAATTATATTAAAAGAATGTTTTAGACTACTAAGATAATGTTTTATACTCTGAAAGTTTGCATATAAACTTCTGCTATTAAAGTGAATTAATGATAATTTGTTTTCAGTCTTAACATTGCTGTTAAACTGCTCATCCGTGTAATACTTGCAGTTAACACTCAGTTGTAAGTTATCATAGATTCTCGCAGGAGTAGAGCTCACACTCACACACCAATCACACAAAACAGGAAACAGACACAATTAGGAGACCTGGCCAGAGCTGTGACGACCTGTTTATGTCTCGTCCTCACAGAATCTGTTTGGGAAGATGGCCGACATCCTGGAAAAGATAAAGAAGTGAGTTTGTCTGCATGCACTTTGAACTGGTGATCCACGCACAGATCTCTAATGTGGTGTGTGCGTTCAGTCTGCTCATGTGGGTGAAGCCAGAGCTGACTCAGAAGCTGTACGTTGGTCTGTGGTTGGCCTTCATCTCCTCCTGCCTGCTGCCGTACAAACTGCTGGGATTCATCATAGGTACACTTTATACATGCACTGTAATCTCTAATGTGTGTGTGCGTTCAGTCTGCTCATGTGGGTGAAGCCAGAGCTGACTCAGAAGCTGTACGTTGGTCTGTGGATGGCCTTCATCTCCTCCTGCCTGCTGCCGTACAAACTGCTGGGATTCATCATAGGTACACTTTATACACTTTATGCACTGTAATCCATACTCAGTTGCCAGTTTATTAGGAACAGCAAGCTAAACAAAGTCAGTCTAACCCGATGGTACTGCAGTGAATCTTCCTTCGTGATGTTGATAATGTGCAGCTGTGTGATCATGCTGCAGGCTAGAGTTTGTGCTGCACACTTCTGTTGTATTATACAGAGTATACAGTGTATACATTTACAATACAGTACACCACACAAAAACTATCCTAAATACTCTGTGATTTGCCTCCACAGACCATGGATTCTGTTATGATTCATTTTTTTGCTTTGAGGCATTCATTGGTTTCAGATTACTTCTGTGGAAATCAAATATCAGAGTTGTAACTTCCTGGATTAAAGCTACAGTCTTATGCAAAAGTTTAGGCACCCCTTGATAAATAACAGATTTTGGTGATTTTTTATTTGAACAGATGTTAACACAGTTTCTCTTGGAAATGGAAAAAATGCACAATATTTTCTGCAAACAGTGATGCATAGTTACTTCTTATGCCATAAATTGAACAAAAATAAAAAATAAAAACATGATTATGGCATGGTGCAAAAGTTTGGGCACCCTAAGAGTTCCAGAGTCTCAAAGTCTCTCACAAGGTATCAGACCTTAATCAGCTCGTTAGATCTGATGCACAGCAACAGCTGTCATTGGTAAATGCCAATTTCAAAGCTGTACAAATACTTTGACTCTTCAAACCTTGTGCACACACTTGTGGACACCCAGCAACCATGGGTTCCTCTAAGCAGCTGTGTAAGACCCTGAAAATGAAAGTTATTGACGCCCACAATGCAGGAGAAGGCTACAAGAAGATAGCAAAGCGTTGTCAGCTTGCAGTTTCCACAGTAAGAAATGTAAATAAGAGATGGCAGATCAGGGGAACTGTGGAGGTCAAGATGAGATCTGGAAGACCAAGAAAACTCTCGGACAGAACTGCTCGTATGCTGGTCAGAAAGACAAATCAAAACCCCCATTTGACTGCAAAAAACCTGCAGGAAGATTTAGCAGACTCAGGAGTGGTGGTGCACCGTTCCACTGTGCAGCGATGCTTGCACAGACAAGGCCTTCATGGAAGAGTCAGCAGAAGAAAACCTTATCTGCGTCCCCATCATAAAATCCAACGTCTGAAGTATGCAACAGGACATCTACAGAAGCCCGATGCGTTTTGGAAACAAGTGCTGTGGACTGATGAAGTTAAAATAGAACTCTTTGGACACAATCAGCAAAGGCATGTTTGGAGAAAAAAAGGAGCAGCATTTCATGAAAAGAACACCTTGCCAACTATTAAGCATGGGGGTGGATCTATCATGCTCTGGGGTTGTGTTGCAGCCAGTGGCACAGGAAACATTGCACGGGTGGAGGGAAGAATGGATTCCACTAAATACCAGCAAATTCTGGAAGCAAACATCACACCATCTGTAAAAAAGCTGAAGCTGAAAAGAGGATGGCTTCTACAACAGGACAATGATCCTAAACATACCTCGAAATCCACTATGGAATACCTCAAGAGACGCAGGCTGAAGGTTTTGGAATGGCCATCACAGTCCCCTGATTTAAACATCATTGAAAATTTGTGGGTAGATCTTAAAAGAGCTGTGCATGCAAGACGACCAAAGAATATTACAGAACTAGAAGCCTTTTGCAAGGAAGAATGGGAGAAGATCCCAAGTACAAGAATTGAAAGACTTTTAGCTGGCTATGAAAAGCGTTTGCAAGCTGTGATATCTGCCAGAGGAGGTGTTACTAAGTACTGATTGTGTAGGGTGCCCAAACTTTTGCACCATGCCATAATAATGTTTTTATTTTTTATTTTTGTTCAATTTATGGCATAAGAAGTAACTATGCATCACTGTTTGCAGAAAATATTGTGCATTTTTTCCATTTCCAAGAGAAACTGTGTTAACATCTGTTCAAATAAAAAATCACCAAAATCTGTTATTTATCAAGGGGTGCCTAAACTTTTGCATAAGACTGTACATTGACTGATTTTTGGGAAGAAATATTCAAACATAAGTCAGCAGGCTCACAGCTCACATTCATTATCAGCTAATGAAGTAGTGTCAGCTAACAAGTTAGCGAACGGCTGCCCGAATGCACATCCAGCAGAAACATAGCCACATGATCATCCCATGGGGGTCATGGCCGTGTCCACCTGACGATTGTTAGGCTCCCTGAAGAGTGCAGTTCACTGAGTTCAGGAGTGAGATTCAGGACTGTGTTTGATCCTGCTCTTCATCCTCCTCCTCAGGTGTGTATGTAGGTATAAAGTTCTTCATCATCGACTTCATCTTTAGGAGTTGTCCCAAGCTGAGGCAGCGCTTCGACACCCCCTACATCATCTGGACCAATTCACCCACCGACCTGCAGCTGAAGGAGCACAGCAGCAGCGTGCTGAGCAGACGGGTCAGTGCACACCCCCACATACGTCCAGACATGCAGCTCGCAGATGCTGAAGTCAGTTTGTCACATGACAGGAGGAAACAAGGTCTTTGGTGTGTTTCCCTGCCAACATCATGAGACTACACTGTGGGTAGATGTTTGTATTCACGAGTAGCGAGCCCGAACACTGGATATGTTTGAAAATGAATTTCACCAAACTGAATCTGAATCTAATATGTTTTTTTACCACGTTAGTGACATGGCAGCGCCACTTTGGCCCTGATCACACAACTCGACATAAAATGTTGTGCAGACAGTCATGGTCCCTAGAGGATGAAGCCTAATGGCTTGGTGATCCCCTGACCTGTCCTGTGGCACCAGCATGAGGTTCAGGTTTTAGATATTCTTAGCTTCAGCGTCAGGCTTATTTTCAGTATGAACTGAAACCCAGAAAGTAAATAAACATCTGAGGTCTGCAGAGAAAACAATGCCAGGTTTACAGTTACAACCTGGATCACTACAGGAGTAGGTAAATTACTTGAATCATGTGCCAGTGGAGACTGGATAAGTGCTTTACTGGTTCTTACTGGTCCCAATTGCTAGTCTCTCTGAGTTGTTGTGTTTTTCTTTCTCAGCTGTCTGAGTGTGAACAGGTAGGAGCCTGTTGTGTGCGTGTATTGTGTGTAATTATAGTGACAGTATAGATAGATGAGCCAAAACATTATGACCACCTGGGTCAGTTTTATATTGGTGAAGCGACTCCAACCCGCTGACCCAAACTCTGGTAAGACGTTAGCAGCAGATCCTTTAAGTCCTGTGAGTTGTGGGTTGGAGCCGCTGGAGGTCGTAGCTGTTGTTCCACCACGTTTCCCATCACACTGTCTCGACTTTGTGGTTTCTCCCTCATGGACCACTGTCAGTCTGTGCTCACACCTGACACCTGAGATGCTCTGGCCCAGTCACCTGGCTATAATGATTTGGTCCTTGTCACTGTCTCTCAGGTCTTTAGACCTTCTGGTGTCTTCCATATCCAACACACTGACTACACTTTCTATCTATCCCAGACATTGACATGCACCGTTGTTACAAGATAATTCACTTCTGAGTGCTCATAATGTTTTGGCTCATCAGTGTAGAGATCAGTAGTCTGTACTATAAGTCCAGATGTAGAGTCATCAGAGCGCTTGACCAGTCACCAGTCAGCTGCTGTTATGCTGGTCGGCAACGTGTTTGGTAAAATTTTGTTAGAGAGTGAGACATCCCAACTAATGTCCTGATATAATCCCCGCTTCTCTTTAGATTTCAATGACCCCATGACCTTTCCTCTAGCGCCACTCTCAGGAAAGTTGTAGGTCAGATCTTGCCTGAATTTTCAGGTTTTAGACAATTTTTTGACACTAATATTGTGATGTACCTCAGGTAAGACCAAATACTGTAAATCAGTTCAGGTAGAGAGGGGATGCAGTGGCTAAAGTTCCCTTACATTTTTCTGCAGCGTGCAGGACATTTTACAGTTGTTATATAAACTTGTCCCTACTCTTTGGTGAAAAAACTAATGTCTCAAAACATATCTTTAGTATATCTGTACTTTAATCTCTTGTTATTTATCTGCTGACATATACGCCAATATTAAATATTTATGATATGTTCTATTATTTGTCTGAATTTCCACATCAAGTCTGTCCCAAAATTTGTCTTCTGCAAAACTGAGTTTTTCCTTCAGGCCGGATAAAAAAATTTGGAGGAAGATTCTAAAATTTATACTAAGAGTTAAATATTTTTCTACTTTATATATATATATGCAAAATAAAAAGAAAACCATGGAAAACATAGCCAGCTACAGTTTATGAGTTAAAATGCTACACAGCACACCTGGACAGGTAAGTTGTTCTCTTGTTGTCTCTCTGCTCTGCCAGCAGCTCCACTCTCTCACTGCAGTGATGCTTAGGATGCTGCAGTCCAGCACTTCACCAGCTGCTGATTTGCTAATCCAGTATTGGCCCCGCCCCTCCTCTGTCCACCTGCTCAGGTTCCTACAGTGGGAAGTCGGAGCAACCTCGGGGCTGCAGCTCCTCTGGGTGTCGGCCGTGACGAGGATGGAGGGCGATACTACAGCACCAAGAGAGGAGCTTTTCACGAAGTCTTCAGCCTGCCGGAGAGTGAGCGCCCTCTGCCAGGTGGGGGAGGATCTGCAGGAGGGAGGGTCAACAGTGTCAAAAAATGTGCTCAGATTTCAGACTTAAACACTTAAAACTAGAATTGAAGCTGAATGACTTCACACATGACTTTGTTCATAAAAATGCCTTTTTTTTCATTTATTCTACAATTGTTGTTTCAGTGTGTGAGAACGGCTGGCGCTGCTGCCTTATCAACAGAGACAGGAAGTCCCCGACAGACTACATCCGCAACGGAGTCCTCTACGTCACTGAGAAGTAAGTCAGTTCACTTTATCTTACAGACGATAACCAGACAATGAGGATCATTTGATGCCAGTTTAAATTGGCATATGTGCTCCTAGATCTGATTCATATCTGACCTGTGACTCTGTGAGTGCTGTCAGAGCGGTCAGATCAGAATTCATGGGGTTTCTTTAACATCTCCCTCCTCTGCACAAATCGCCTGTCGTAATCATTCATTTTGTTCACAAAGTAGCTTTTGCTTTCAGAGATTACTTTTATTTAACTTAAGCCTAGTTTTCTTCATGTAAACAAATATTTTTCAGCATAGTTTTGTGTAGTAAACATACCTTTCAGTGTTGGTCCAGCCCAAACAAGTGGACTGACACCTTGGTCCGGTATCTGCACTCGAGCTGGTCCTGGATTTGAAGGTGCAACATAGATTTGAGAATGAGTTTGAGTCTTTGAATCTCAGCATCAAATGGCAGCGTTTGTCCTGAGGTGCATCTCGCAGTGACTGGGCTTGTTCTTTTTGAACATTTGTGTGAACAGAGGTTAATGAAGGCTCCTCTGTCTCCTCAGTTATCTGTGTTTCGAGGTCTCCAGCTCCAGGTCTGGATCCTCTAAGAGGAACAAAGTCATCAAACTGCTTGATATCAAAGACATCCAGAAGGTTTGCAGAGTGTCTCTGTGTCCTGCTTCAATCATATTCTACATTTGACTTGCTCCTGTTATTCTGTGTAACAGTGGCTGATGCCGATTCACGTAAATAAAATATATATGAATGTGGAACTAAATGTTTTGTCTTCTCTGTCCCTCACAGTACAAAGTTTTGTCAGTGCTGCCTGGATCAGGGATGGGTATTTCCATAGCAACGCCAAGCACCCAAAAGGTAAGAGATGGGGGTAGATAGTATGATTGGATGTTCCCTGTAGTGACATCAGTCTGTCCGACAGGAACAGTAGTGAGTCAAACTGCAGTTGAAATAACAAACACATTCAACAGTTGAATCACTGAAAACACTACAGTGATGGCGGCTCACAGAAACATGCTGAGTTGTTCCGACACATTTATTAGAGGCAGCCAGTTAGGGATGAATGAGAACCAGAACCATAACTGTAAAAAAAGAAATGAATTAGTAAAGTAAATCAGGTTCAGGTTTGTATGAAGTTTGAAAGTCCTTATTTTAACTTTCAGAGGCTGTCCAGTGAAACTAGACAGGAACATGTGTGATTTGATAAAAGACAGTGTTGGCCTGAGAAGCTAAGCGCAGATTGGTTTACTTTGCCATTCAATTCAACGTGAAGGTGTGTCCAAACAATGGGCTATTTCCAGCTGATGCTCCCTCTGTTCTGTTGCAGCCGATGGTGTTTGGTGCGATGATGCACAGAGATGAGGCCTTCGACGCCATCTCCACTCAGTACATGAGGATTGTAACCATGACTTCAGCCGTCAAGCCTGAGACTTAGTAACACCTTCACAAGATGGCTGCCTCAATACACCCACTGGAACGTTTCGCTTTTCTCACCAGAGACGTCTTCACACAGCTGCTGACTTTAGGGTTAGAGTTAGACCCGCTGCTCTTTTTTCACATGATTACACAGTGATCCATCAAAAAAAAATTTCACTCAGATCAGCTGATGTTAAATCAACCAAACACCAGTTTCATGTCAGCCGGTCCAATACAATCACTGCTCTTAAATGGCTTTATAGAAAGTCCACACAAAACAGTCCTCTACCATCCGCGTTAAAAGTACATTCTCAAATATAAACCAGTGTACAAATAACTTGCACAAACAAATAAAAGTCTGGTAGAAAACAATGACGATGGGTGACATCACCTGTACTATCAGGGTCATGGCGTATGCTCACCACTCTGCCAGAAACACTTGTATTTTGTTGACACTAACACTTCTGATTCACTGTTTGTTTTTTAGTCACTTATACTTCACCATTTTTTGCATCACTGTCAAAGACAACTAGTTTCACATTAAAAGCCTAAAAAACACAATCCCTCCCTTACTTGTTGGGCTTTTAATGTGAAAAAATTTATTTCTTCTGTTCACATGGTAAAATGCTGGTTTACAGTCTAAAATACTGTATACATTTGGGATTTATCAACATGTATACCTGCAGTTTGTGTGTCAGGCTACAGGCGGTGTCATTTGTTTACTTCAATAGATGTATATTACATTTTAATGTTTATTAGACATTGTATTAGTGGTGAAAATATTACTTGATTAGTGGAAAATGAACACTCTTGTTAATGAATCAACCATTTAAGTTGCTTATCAATCAAAAACCTGAGTCATGCTGTTGCTGCAACTTCATGTCTTGTAGAATTTTGGACTGTTGGTCAAACATCATAGACAAAACAATTCAATAATAGGCAAAAAAGATTATTTAACAATAAAGTAAATCATTAGTTAGTACAAATAATTTTGCATTAAAGCACATTAGAGTCTCACAACTTTTACCAGCAGCAATCCGACCAAAACGTAAAGGTAATTAACTGACTTTCTAATAAAAAGAAAAAGAAAAAAAAACTGATGAAAGAACATAGGGGATACAATAACTGGACGTCTTCCTCTGGAGTTACATAAACAATTATATAACTAATATCGCCTTACAGGTGATATTACAGTATGCTTTTTAATGTGGTTGTAAACATTTTTTAAAGTAACAAAATTTTCTTTTAGCTTTTTCTGTTTTAGCTAAAAGCTAATGCTAACAAAAATAATCAGTTTACTTGGCTTATGCGTTAGCTATAGCCTTTCTTTCCCAGTTACAAGATAATGCTACAAAAAGCCACAAACTGATGTCTTTTGTTTCAGTTATAGCTTTTCTCCTAGCGTAAAGATAAACTTTTAACTGGGATAGCTGCAGAAAGGCACAGGCAGAACATGAAATACATGTAGTAATCATAGAGAAGTTAACTTTTACTTTAGCTTTCTTTCATAGCCTAAGGGTCTAAAAAAGGTGAAATTATTATTTCCTGCTTTCCTTAGCTTTTCTCCATGGCTAAAGTTAAAACAGAATGCAGTTTTTTCTTTGTTTAATGCTTAATCTGTTGTAGTTCTTTACTTTCTTGATAAGATGTTTCTGCTGTTTACATTTTTTAAATTGATGCTTGTCATTAATACCATGTGGCCCCCCCATGTCAATGCTGTTGACCTGTTGTGTCTTTCAAATGTAAGAGTTTTATACAATGTCTAAATGTTTTAATGAAATGCTTTGTGTTGTAAAAAGTCATGTTTTTATTCAACTAAAATCAGGTGTCAAACTCTGACAGTCACCAGTCGTTTGTGTAGTACCCACTTCAGCCGGTTGGGGGCAGCACCTGGGGGTTGGATTCTTCTGTAGTTTCAGAAGGAATGTTTTTCCTCTTTTGTGTAAATAGCAAGATATTAACATTATTCAATATAAGCCATAAGGAATTAATTATAGCCTGAACCCAACAGTCAGGAGACAAGAATAAATCCTTAACCCACTAAAGTGGTTTAGATCTCCTGTTAATATACAGTACAACATGATCTTCATTTTAGCTTGAGCCAAACAAGCAGATGTTTATTTGTATCTTTATTTCTCCAGAAGTTAAACATGTTAATTGTTTTAGTGAAATGGAGATTCAAAGTATTTCGGTCACAATGTTTTATAGTCTCTGGTATCAGCAGGGAGGGTTTTATTATCACAGAGAATAACAGCTGACATGTTTGATTTTATCACCTGCTCCGTGTTTCTAGTTCTAAACAACGTGATGCATTCATCTGTCGTCATTGAACAGCCAAGACGACCAGTAAATTATTAACCCGGTATATCAGTAACTCGGTAAATAAGATTTTCTTTCCCTCTCACACTCTCAAAACCATCTTTACTGCTAGGTCTGCTGCAAAAGAAAACGTGTTATGAAATTCAAGGAACAGGGTAAAACACACTGCTGACAGAACTTTCATTCTCTGAAAAAATTGCCTTGAAAAATTTTGTAATCCAATACCAAGAAGTACTTTTAAAATATGTGACTTTAGTGACCATAAATCAGTAAATGCTGATATAAATTTAAATAATCTTCCACAGAACATGTGCAACTCAATCATGAATATCTTTACAATAATTATGGCACAAAAGTTATAAAAGGTTAAATTTTCTTAAGTGTTTCATGATCTGTCCTATTGCCCAGCATTACAGGAGTGACTTATTAGATTTTATTATAGGTGGTCCAGATTGACGGTCGACACTTCATCACTGTGTGAATCCTCTGCTGTATCATCCATCTTCACCCCTAGTCCACTGTCCAGATCTGCATCAGCAAAGCCAACCTTTCGGGTTTTTATTGGTTGGTTGTGGTCTTCATCCTCATCCCTGCTGCTGGATAACTGCTCTCCGTCTTCCTCTTCACTGTCATCCTCCCTGCTGTCTGGGATTATGACCACCTCCTCCTTGGCAGCAGGGTCAATGTCCTCCTTAAACCAGACTGCCTTGTATCCCTCCTCCATTCGTCTCTCCTTGGTTAGGATGGGTTTCACTTCCTTCTCACTGTCGACTTTGTCCGAGCCCGCCTGGCTGGTGTTGTCAGGAAGGAGGGCATGCAACGATGCCAAAGACCTCACTTTGGCCTCATTGAGTGGGATGTCCACCACTTTTCGTGGCGCCCCATCAGCCATTACACTTCCCCCCTTTGGTCCATTGAAGCCCATGCTGCCTCCATCTTCATCGTTCTGGAAGGCCTCATTGGTGTACTGGATGCCTTTCTTAGGAGCTCCTGAACTTTGACCCAGCTGTGGAAAGACACCACAGTCAGGGAGACAGTTAAAACCAGGATTAATAGTTTCAAACCCTGCCAAACCACTAAAGGTTGCAGTGTGCATTGCATCTCACTAAATAGTAAATAAGAGGCCTTTATAATTACAGAGTATGTGTAACTTTAGCAAAGCAGCATGTATAATAATCATTTTCAGGGACAGGTGTGAGGATGGAAGACACTTTGGTACTCCCTGTACTTGCCTTGACTCAGACTACTTAGACAAATTTTGAACTCACAGAGCTTCGAAACACATTGGCTTCATAGATCTTCCTCCAGTCTGCTTTCCCCTTGCGTATGCAATGGACGAGCACCCCGATGACCACCAGAGAGATAAACAGCAGGATACCCAGGGTTGCACCAAGTGCTGCCATGTCCACTACCGTGTAATCCCCTGACGGTACAATCACTGCAGGAACAAAGGTTACCAAATACATGTATTGCTGTTGACTCCAGCCAATAAGTGCAGCCAAAAGCAGCATCATTTATTCATAAATATATTATAAACTGATTTGATTTCTAAGTAGCAAAAAGGTGGTTACAATTATATAAAAATAGGTTATTGAGTAGTAAAAAAAAAAAAAAAGTAGTCAAAGACTGTTGGTTGGTGTGATCAGTTCTTTACAAGACTGAAATTCTTTTATTTTGGTTTGGTCTAAGATTTGTTACCTGTAAATTAACAGTCGGGAAGCTAATGCTGCATTCATGCAATATCCACAGCTTTGGACAGATTGGGTAAGAAAATTACTGTTGAACTTTGTCTACAACAGGCATGCAAGACCATCTTGGCGTTCATTCAACTAACTACAAACTCTTCAAACATGTTGAGGATTTTTATGTTTTGAGGTCAGTCTGTTTAAACGTGGCCCTAGGTTTACAGAGCTACCTACTGTCACTGCACAACAAAGTATTGCTTAAGTGGTTGGTCGCTTTGAAGATCAACAAGACATTTTCTGGTGAAAGTGATAAAAAAAACAAAAAAAAAAAACAACGTGAACTCTACTTTTAAAGGAACTTAGGCCTGAAACATAATTCACTTAAGTATGCAGACAGAAACGATAATGCCTGGACCAGCATGTGTCCCAGGTGAACACAGTCAATGTGCACTTTAACAGACCAGTTGAGGTGATCAAGTTCAGTCTACAAGGGGCGATATCGGCCAGCTGAAGTTCAAAACACTTCCAACCCAGCGCCTTTCTGTGCCGAGTCTGCATGTTCTCCCTGTGCCTGCGTGGGTTCTCTCAAGGTTCTCCGGCTTCCTCCCACAGTCCAAAGACATGCAGCTTAGGTTGACTGGTGACTCTAAATTGCCCATAAGAGTGAGTGTGAGTGTGAGTGTGTGTGTGTGTGTGTCAGTCCTGTGATAGACTGGTGACCTGTCCAGGGTGTACTCCGCCTCTCGCCCACTGTCAGCTGGGATTGGCTCTGGCCCCCCTGTGACCCTCTTCAAGATAAGCTGTATAGATAATGGATGGATGGATGGATGGACGGATGTTAACCCAAACAGAAGGGCTCAGCTCTGTCTTTTTTCATGGTATAGCCAGTGTTGTAGTCCGGTCACTAAATCTCAAATCCAAGTCAAGTCAAGAGTCCCCAGTGTTCATGTACGGGTCCCTGACAAATTGTTCAAGTTGAGTCCCTGTTACCCGAGTCATCAAAGTCTACATTAAACATAATTAATACAGCTTTCACCATTTTAGATCCCAAACTTTCTGTGTATTACATCAACATATTGCTTGCCAATTAGAAATCATTTATGGAAAGGCAGCGTGTACGCTTTGATGGGAGGGCACCAGATAAAGCAAGGTGCAGGAAAATGGTTTTAATATAAAAAATGAATAAATAAAAAAAAAAAATTAAAAAAAAATGCCATTGTCATTGTCCCCAACTTCTAACTTCGAATGCAGTCACTTGCACCTGGTCTCATTATGGCGTATTCACATTATCATGAAAAAATGGGTGTTTCTTACACTTCTTTGTAAAGCAATTTGTTCGTGTCCCACGGAAAACGAATGGGGTTGAATTTCAGGTCCTGCCAAGCCACACTCAGTGGATCTTCACATTAAGATTTTTAGGAGACATGTCGCATGAAATTAATCTTGCGTAGTTCAAAGCATCTGTATTTGCATACTTGTATGAAGTAGGTTTTGGGCCTCAGAGGTGGATTATTGTATCTTCTGGCTTGGTAGCCACCTTGCACAACATAGGTAGAAACGTTAGAGAGAAACATGTGTCCACCTGGAGGAGGATGAGCTGTTCCTTCACTGGTCAAACTGGGATTAGTGGTAGAAATGCCGCTTTCACTGGTCAAACTGGGATCAGTGGTGGAATTGCTACCTTCACTGGTTGTACTGGGCTTTGTAGTCATTGGCAGGCTGTCGGTGGACATACTGGGGTTGGTTGACATGCTCACTTCAGTAGTCTTGCTGTCAGTGG